TGTTGAAGGACAACCCGTCACTCTCCAGGCTTCCGGATTCTTTCTTCCTGCTTACTTCGCTACGTGTCCTTGAACTATCGAAGTTCAGTGAGGTGCAACGATTCCCGAGCGCCATGTCTGATCTTGTTTCTCTCAAGAGCATGACCATAAGAAATTGCTCTGCACTGAGGGAAATTCCAGAGGGCATGGATCGCATGTCATCTTTAGAGCATTTGGAGCTGTGCCAACTCAGCAGCCTCACTCACCTTCCTGAATCCCTCTCTAGCCTTGCCAACGTTCGAACATTTTCCTTCAATCACTGCAACAGCGTCACCAGTATTCCGCCATCCCTGCTTCGAAACTGGAGGACGAGCCTGACCTCTCTTGAGTTCAGATGGCCAACCAGCTGCCCGGCTGGGGATGTGGGGAATGAGACAAGTATCATTGACGCATTCATGTTGTCTGTTTGTGAGCTTGAGAACCTTTCAGCCCTCCTCCTGCATGGCATTCCCCGCCTGGTTTTTTTCCCGAATGTGGTGCACGATCTGCAACGGCTGCAGCGGCTGACTCTATGTTCCTGCCCCGACCTGCTATCCTTGTCCAGATCCTATTCGAATGCTAATCTCAGGATCCTCGAGATTATTGCGTGCCCAAATTTTCAGGACGAGACATACGATACTTTCCTTCAGGTTTCCACTCTTGAGAGTGCACGCATCGATGGTAGATCGCTGGGGAGAGGATGGATTCGAGCTGGCGTGTGAATGTGGGAGGCCGGTCCGCACTTACTTGGTGAGGCTGGATGGTGGGTGTCCGCACTTATGGCTGGGGTGCCATGGGACAGGGTGTGTTGATTCAGTGAGTATTGGTTGGTTTCTTGTTTTTTGCATGGTATGGTGTGCTGCTGTGTGTTGCGATGTGTTGGTGTGGGGTGTGATGTGCTGGTGCGGGTTTGTGGTGCGGGGTGATGTGTCACACATCTTGCTCTCTCCCTTAATGTCTCTCCCCTTTACCCGGCCCATTGTATCTTGCAGGTTTCAACATCAGCCGCTGATGGGTTGAAGAAAATTGAGGAGGGAGGGAGAGGAGCAGATTTAGAGTTTTCTGTTATGTTTTTGTCCAAGTGGTGCATTGCTTGTAAATAGGGAGGAGGGAAACGGCGCAGCAACGTGGAATCCATGAGTTGGAATTTGCACGCTGTAGAGGGTTGGAGAGGGTGCTTCTGGTGCTGCTTCCAGTGTGCGGCTGGTGGGACCCTTGAATCTAGTGTCCAGGAGAGGGGGGTGTGGAATGGGATTTGATTCCTGGTCTTGTGTGACGGGAGTGGACAAGGGTAGCTGCCGGTTCTTGTTGGCCAGGGCGCTGCTAGAATGGGAGAATCTAACCTGCATGGCTGGTCTGGCTTCTGCTCTGAAGCTTCTGGAATGATGGGGAACTGCCGGGCAGCCACCTTGTTTTCTCAACCTGGTCTGGTGACTGATCGCTCGTACATGTGCATTTGTTAACCACGTTTCAGTAATACTTCTTGTAGTCATGCTGATTTTGGCCCTATAGACCATGTGGGTTGCGCGCCATCATTTGGCCAGTTGCTGAACATTTCTCTGACCACATCAACATCCCTGCCTGCCCTTTCATTTCTAGACTGTGCTTCACCACATCATGTATACTGCAAATATCACCACATTACGGACTAGAATGAATAAAACCTCAAGCATGAGGAACCAATGGCAAAACGCATTAATGAGTACCATATGACGAATACCCCAGCTGCAACTGCGTCTGGTGAGGCGACTGCACCGGTTATGGGTACTGGAGGAGGAAAGCAGCAAGTGAGGAGGGAAGGGGGGGTGCTTCACTGTCTCGTTGTGTGGATGCAGCTGCATGGAGCAGCCTGTGGCTGGTCAGGCTCTCATGGAGCAGCCTGTGGCTGGTCAGGCTCTCCTGGAGTTGAGTTGAGAGCGCTACCGTATATGGGCATCAGCAAGTGGCGGATGAACAAACTGGAGCACATGGGTTGCAGAGGACATGAAAGAAGATTCGTTTCGAGACATCTGGTAACTTTTGGGTGAAAAGGGGGAGAGGGAGAAAAGGGGGAGAGGAGAGACAACTTTTGGGTGATTTCAAAATACGCCTATAGCTTCAATGGAAGAAACAAGAGGGAGGGGGCTTGCAGAGTGAGAAACGAGAGAATCTTTGAAAAAGGGAAAAAAAGGAGGATGGGGCAATCTCAGTGGGGATGCAGGACGGGACTTGTACGCTGAGTTATTTCAGTTCACCAGTTGGAGGTGTGCCTAAATTCCTTTCTTTCTTTCTTTTTTGTGCCTCAAACGTTGCAAGCTGATTGTTTCACCAATAGATAGAAGGTGTATCGTGATTGATCTCACCTTTACAGGGGTTCCCGCACTTCCCAGGAAGCCCCACCCTCGTACACTTTACAAGCTGACCTCAATAGCCTGAATTTCCCTTCTACCAGCATTCAAGAGATCTGGTAGCACGGAACAGCACAGCACAGACAGTAGCCTTAGCTCTGATAGGTACTATTGGAACGAAAACGAGGGAAAAGGGAAATGGGGGTGGAGGAATGGAGAAAGGAGAGTGGGGAATGGAGAAAGCAGAATGGGAGTGAGGAAGATTTGGAAAGAGGGAGCGAGAGAGACCTGGTGAGAGGGAGTGAGGGAGATATGGAGAGAGGGAGTGAGGGAAATTCGACAAGGCGTCTTTCCGTCAGCATCAAAGAGAATGGGCAGCGGGGAATGGGGAAAGGGGCATAGGGGATTAGGAAAGAAGGGAGAAGGGAGAAATGGAGAAGGGAGTTGTGGAAAATGGGGTAAAAAGCAACGGGAATGAGGAAAGAAATCACAGGGAATTGAGAATGGGCAGAGGGGAATCGCAGGGAGTAGGAATGGGGAATGGATAGAGGGGAGTCGCAGGGAGTGGGAATGGGGAATGGATAGAGGGGAGTCGCAGGGAGTGGGAATGGGGAATGGATTGAGGGGAATCGCGGGGAGTAGGAATGGGGAATGGATAGAGGGGAATCGCGGGGAATGGGGAACAGGCAGAGGGGAATTGCAAAGAGTGGGGAATGGGCAGAGGGGAATAAGAGAGGACATCGTTGGGAAGGTTGCGTGTATGTGTCGCTGACTGCGACTTTACCTTTGGGCAAGATTATTGTGGAGGGAGGTTGATAAGAGAACGGGATCTAACATGCGACCTTGAAGCCAAGCCTGAGGGTTGAACGAGACCCAAAAAGCAGGTGTGACCTGACCTGATAGCAGTCACGAGGGATAGACGATGGCGATTGCGGGAGTGCCGCAACGTGAGATTTATACTTAGCGACTTCAACACTCAGGGGTTTTAACAAGGCAAAGAGGATGAGTGACCTGGGGAAGTAATGCACGGTAAGGCTGAATAAGTGAACTGAGATCGATGGGGCTCCGTACAGGCGATATGAGTAGTAATCCACTCACGTATGGCAAGCAGCGTGGGTGGGGTAAAACTGGGAAGTCCCTGTGGATACGAGCTGGTGGGTGGGGGACAAGCGGGGTTGGGTTGGCATCGATTCAGAACTTAGAAGTCTTTGAGTGGCGTGAGTTTTGGTACGGGTGGCATGGGAGAGTAGTTGTTACGTGAAATGAGGGAGTCATTTAGCTTGGAATGGGTGGCATGGGAAAGTAGTTGGTATGGCACAGCTGGATGGGTGAACTCCGATTGAGTGCGTGAGACTGGCTCGCATGACATGACATGGTAACAGCTTGCGATGTTCCTGAAAGCCTCTCAACAAAGATTCGAGCTCAGCGCAATGATCTAACACGTTCGCGCTTGTTTTCGTTATGGGTTCAGCCCGAGTTGAACTGACCCTGTAACCAAGGTAACTAACTAGTACGCCCAAGCGCCCTAGCAAGCTCTGGACCGGCCTCTGAGACCCTCTTCCAGTCACTTCCTTTCCAAACCTTCCAAGGCTCTTCTCCGAGCAGATCCAAGGCAGAGGAACAAAATTGTCCAGGCCAAACCAGACTCAAGGCCCCAAGCCACTCCTGTCATGACCTCCAATACCCACGCCCGCCCCTCTGCTGCGCACTCGTCTGTAAGCCCCCGTGCAATTGTTCCGCCCTCTAATCCCACCTCTGCTCTGCCCTCTGCTCTGCCCTCTGCTCTGCCCTCTGCTCTGCCCTCTGCTCTGCACTCAGCGCTGCCGCTGCAGCGGGTTCTGCAGGCCCACTCAGCACCACTCTCGCCATGTCGTCTGGGCGCAGAAAGGAGGAGCAGGAGGTGGGAGATGCGCCCCTGACACTGTCGTCGCTGCTGCCATTGCCGCTGCTGACGGTGCTGCTGCTGACGGTGCTGCCGCTGCTGACGGTACTGCCACTGGAGGAACTGGTGCTGACAGCTGCGGGCTCAGAAAAGATTTTCTGATGGGAGCAGATAGGGGAAACATGGGTGGATGGAACGGGAGAAAGCAGGGCAGAGGAGATAAGGGGAGGGAAAGGGGAAGTGAGCAATTGCTACCGCATATCCACACTTGAAAGGCGTCCAAGGCGGTTCAATCTAGCAGCCAGGAGTTTTTTTAGATAATGCATGAAGAAGAAGGAAAACAGAAGATGGGAGGAGATGGAACTATGTGAGCTGGAAAGAAACGGAAAGAGCATACACGGGAAAAAAGCGGATGCGGAAAGTGGGCATACTGCTGGATGTGTGGCGGTTGAAAGCGGTGCTGTGAGGCCTTGAATGCCATTCGCGTCTGGGAAACCCGTTGCTATGCAGCGGGACGGAGAGGGCGAGTGGATCGTTGCGGACAGATCCTGCAGGGAAGCCGGAGGGAGACGTGGGTGGCCGAAAGTACCTCAGTCTGATGCGAGACTAGGTGTTTCAGAATCAACCACATCAAAACAACACGCCATTGCTGGCAAGAGGTAGGTCAAAGTCAGCCGCCAGACGGTGAGTCAACATGGAAGCAGTGAACTCAACTTCAATACAGTCACAAAAGCATCAGCACAAATGGTCGGCTCGGCAACACACATACTCACAGCTTACACCAGAAACGAGGATTTCATTCAGAGGAGGCACAGTCAAACCACCAGGTCTTGAGCGTTGCATGTGGCAGCTTGACACGTCAGATAGTGGCTGAATGACGTGGCAATGCCGAGCACGCACGAGATGACTGGCCCCAAGGCTGTACGAATCGCGGCCAAGGCGTCGCCTGGACGGCGGAACCGAGGGGGAAGAGGGGGAAAGGAAGCGGAAGCGGGATGGATTAGGAGAGGTGGGTGGGAGGGAGGGGGGGGAGCGGGGGCGGAAGCGGCGGAGGGGGAGAATACGGGGAGGGAAGATGCTGACGCTAGCTAACCGTGATTTCTAACCGCGTTTTCCGAACCGAAATTCCTAACCGGGTTATACGAAACAAGAATTGCGGAGACGACAAGAAGAAAGCATACTGGAGGCGACAGCTGGGGAATATGGAAACGAGACGACTGGATTTTGTTGAATCGTCTAGGCTCGCAAACTTCCTTCCGAAGGGTTCAGGTTGATATTTCCAAGAGTAGCGGGCTTAGTCGAGGCGGACGGGAATAAAGCCTGCTCCTGGTCGGGTAACTACGTCCGTCCGCCATTATCTTCGCCAATATTGAGCCAAGATAGTCCCAACCAATAGGTGCTTGGAGCGGGAACGAAGCAGAATGTAACAGTGTGGCAGCCGAGTGCTGCCAAGTACAGTGCAGGTGGGCGGAAGTCAAGCGCCACCTCACCAACTGTTCGTATTGGTCAAACGCCTCAACCTGCAGCTGGGCGACCAGATCGTGACGCGCAGCCCAAGTCAATCACACGCACGAAAATAACGAAACGCAGAACACCGAAGTTCCGACCCCTCGCCGACTTCGCCAACCACACCGACGAAGTTACAGCCTTGTAATCAACTCGTCGACCAATCCCGCATCGCAATCAATCTCTGAATTTCACGGCAAGGTTCATTTCAAGGGGTAGAGTTACCAATAAGAAATTCAGAGTGTCGTGACTTGGTAGTGCGACTCGATTTGTGAATGCATCCTATAAAATTGTGTGTGAAATTTGTTGAAGTCATATTGTAATTTCCAGAGAATTCCAGAGAGCATCTTGTACAGCCGGGAGGCTGCAAGCGGCAAGGGAAACATGGTGGAGGGATGGTTGGGGATTTCAGTTTGAAGTGGAACAACGGCAGTTTCGATGACGATGAATTGGTTTCGTCCAATTGTTACCGAGTTCAGTTTTGCACCTTGATTGGCTGCCCCAAGACTGGATCTGCCACGCCAGTCAGGCAGCAATCGAGGGCTCATTTCCAGCATAGGGACGTCCCTTGCGAACTGACGCGATAGTTGGAACTGTGGCAGGAATACATGGTAACTGATTATGATGCACGAGGTTTGGAGTTGACGACATTACGGTTGTCGCGTTTCACGTGTCAACCTACCGTTCGCCATGACGCGAACCGTGAGCTTGTTATGAGGGTAACATGCACGTCGCAGCGCCCAAGAAAGCCGTGTCACAGTCCATCTGCTCCTAAACCCTCGAATAAATAGATTTCCCTCTGAGCAGATCCACCCAGTTCCATCCCCCACCCAATTCCGATCTCGAAAAAATGAAGCTCTCCGCTTCCCTGCTGCTCCTTGTCCTCGTTTACACCTGCTTCCGTTTCCCTTCAACGCCTCTTTTTGCGTTCGACTTTCTTTTCGGGCAGATCTTCTCGAAGGTAAGCAAAGCATCTTGTACAATAACGAGGGTCCTGTGCGCAGGTTCTTGGGTTCTCGACCTCTACTCCGGCTTCTCTTCTCCGACATTCTGGGAAAGGTGAGTTGGGATTGCAATTTGCCTACGCTAACTCCTGCGTTCAGTGCTATCACAGATTGCCACTTCAGCAAAGGCAACGTCTTGGCCTTATATGCTGGCTGGTTTTCACGTAACTCAGGGAACTTGGTATCCTATCCCGACGACCTCCTTGTCCAAGACGTTGGTGAGTCAGATTGGACCACCTCGGGCTGCATTCTCTCAGGCAAGGCCTTTGCGGCGGTCCTGCTTCGTCCTCCTGATCCAGGCTTACCTCTTCCACCTCATTGCCAGCAAGCTAACCCTCGTGGTAGCCTGGTGCTTTAGCTTTCCTCACATGCGTGCCTTTCCGACTCGGGCAGGCGATCTGGCTCCCAGTCATGTCCCTACGTTTGCCACGGCCATTGCCAAGGCACCTCTGTTCGATCGAACCGCTTACATGCTCACATTGTGCGATCCGGGCCTCTGCCTATCGTGCTTCCACCCGCTGTTCTTTCGCCTTCAGGCTCTTACCCCTTCCTCTGGTATAAACTCTTTCTCTCGGCCTCTTTACGATTACCTCTCGCAACCATGGCTACGGAGCATAACCCCGACCACGTCATGACGGAGGGTCAGATCCCTGTCGGTGACGAAATCCTCGATGACCTTGGGGAAGAATTCCTCGAGGACCTTACCGACGGCGCTCTGCCCGTTCTTCACGACGAGGCCGCGCACTCCGCTCCTGTCGGTGCTCAACCGTCCCCGTCGGGTGAACCGGCGGCGAAAAAGCTGTGTGGCGAAGGGCAGTCCTCGGCCGCTGGCCCCTCTGGGGTCGCTTCCGCGTCAATTTCGGCTCCCCCGCCGATTCCCCGTGCGAGCTCCTCCGGTAGCTCCGATGCCACGGCTCCCGCGTCTGGCCGCGCGCCTGCTCCTTCCGCGCCTCGTCCGGCGCCGGCTTCTCGCTCTCGGCCCGTGCAGCCGGAACCCGAACCCGATCACGCCGCCGCTGGTTTGGCCACTGGTCTCGCTCCTAACGCTCGCTATCGGAACCTGCGTCGCCACCGAACGTCGGTCGGGGCGGTCCTGCACACGCTGACGCAGAACACGCAGTCAATGGTGGACGTGATTTACCCCGAGTCTTCTGCCGAGGAGGTTCGTGCTGCGGTGCTTGCGCGCATCTCGTCTCTCATCAACGGTCAGGCTTTTAACGGTGTAATTCCCTCGTACGAATCAGCCGCTGGTGCAGCTCTGCGGCTTCCCCGCCGTACCTACTCTCGGCACTCCTTTTCCTGGCTCTCCGCTAATGATGCGAGAATTTTCCGTTCCCTGTTTCCGGTTACTGTTCGTCTGGCTAATAACCGTGCGATGGAAGTGAAGGTGTTCTCTGATCCTAACCTGGAGTTCACGATGGCCAGAGCTAGGGGTGACACTCATATGGTCCTCCGCAACGTGCCGCTGGGGTACTCTCCTGAACGCCTGCGCAACACTCTTCTGGCTGGCGTGACCGACGCTGGGCAGCCTTGGCTTTCGGATATCCGCCTGTTTCACCGCCTCAAAGACCCGTATGATGACCCTGCGTACTCCCAGCTGCTCGGTCTGCCTGTGGCAGTAGAAGGCGACGTCGGTTTCGATCGTATCCCTGCGGTTCTGTGGCTTCCGGGCCAGGAGGATCCGGTGCTCCTCAACATCTCGTCCCACTCTTGCTCCGTGTGCTCCAGTAACCACCGCGTGTCTGACCACGCCTGCTTCGCCCTCACCCGCCGGGCTCGTCTTCCCAACCGTCACACCATCTCGGTGTCTCAGCTGCAATCTGTCAACGGTACTGCACGTTTCTGTCTATTCATTGTGCTTCTCGCTTGTTTGGTTTCCTCTGGTTCTTCCATATGTGATCCGGTTTTTCACTCCGAGGCTGTCTTCAAATTCCGCCCCCTTGTATCTTGTTATGGTGATATCTCCTTCCTCTGTTCCAACTCTTCAATTTCCAGAGCTTTTCTTTTTTCCGGGCCTTGTCGCCTTCTACCTTCTCTTACAGGACGGCTGATTGGCCAGCAGCCTGCCCCCGCAGCTTTCAAGAAAGATCCAGGTCTTCTCCTCATCGGAGTGGACCTGGATGTCGAGGTCTGGACGTGCTCCCTGTGCGATTTCGACTGTGGCTTGGCGTTGGACAGCGCTATGTACCACATCGCCTCAGAGACTCACCGCAAGCACCTGCAGGAATCGGCCCACCTGCCGGCAGCCAAAGAGAAGTACGGAGCCTGGAGGGTCTCTACGCTGCTGCAGCACCACCGTATCAGTGCCTTTCTGCAGTAGCTGCCGTATCGTGCGGTCAGACTTCTATGAGTGTTTGCTTAGCCTACCAGCTGCTTAACGGGCTTCATTGCTTTCACTTTTGCCATATATTGTCCTTGTATTTGATGCAAAAGTATTCAATTGCGCTGGTGGGGCTCGATGCCTCCACTACCCTTCTTCTGTCTTCCTCTTTCCACGCCCTGTGGATGCACATGCCTAGGCATGTGAGGGCTCCCCTCCGTTCTAAATGTTAATCCCCCTCACCTTCCGTTGCATTAACGTCAACGGTCTCAATAAAATGCAAAAAATGTACGATCTACGCTCATGGCTGTCTAAAAGCGATAGGAAAGTTGATATCTTAATTTTAGTCGACACCAGGCTTACCCTCAATTTCCCCCGGCTCCTCCTGTCCTTCAGACCATCCTCTCACGCCCAATGCCCACCGCCCTATACCGAGCGGGCTAGACCAGGAGGTATTGCTATTCTAGTGTTCAACAAAAATATCTCTATTTCTTCTGTCGATCCCTCTCCTGACGGGCGTTTACTCTCGGTCCATGTCAATTTTATGCAAGAACAGTTTCGTATTATTGCTATCTACGCCCCCTGCACAGTCACCCTCCGTAGGCAGTGGTGGCGTGCTTTTTTCGCCCCCGCCCTAGACATTCCCACTGCTGCGGCTGGTACTATCTTGGCCGGGGATTTTAACGCGGTTTGCGCCCCAGAAGACCGGAATAGGCCTCTACTCAGCCACGAAATTTCTGAGGGCACCATTCTGTCTAATATTCTTGCTAATCATGGCCTAATCGATTCTTTCCGCAAAATTTTCACGACAGCCACCATGTTTTCCTTCTTTGCCATTCCTAGGAGCGGTTAGGACGAGGATTCTCCTCCCTCAGCCTCCCGCTTAGACCGTATCTACATCTCTAACTCCCTGGCGGCCCGGCTCCTCGATGCAGCATATTACTTAGTATCCAAGGAGGTGTCCGATCACGATCTTGCCCCTTCTTGCTCCTTCCAATGCGATAGTCCTAACATAGCCCCACGCCCCTGGCGCATACCTCTGGCCATTCTTAAACGTCCACAGTTGGAACACATTGTAAGCTCGGCCTGTCGCTCTCTCCCCGCGCCTCTCTCCGCTGCAGATTGGGATCCTTGGAAGCTGGCCCTTTGCAATCAAATTAAGTCCTTCGCCGGACAAGAAAAGATACGTGTCAGGAAAACCACCTCTCACTTGCAGACTCTCACCTCCCAACTTCGGATTCACCTCGCTGTTAACCCGACTGACTTAGAAGCCAAGGAGCGACTTCGTATCGCCTCACTACAATTTGAACGATACGAAGCCAGCCGGTTTGCCGAATTAGCGCTGAAAGCGAAGCTTAAAGTAGAGGGCCCAAGAGAGATGGGCGTCTCCTCCCTGCTTGTCGGCGTAAATAGCAGAATCAAGGCATCTTTGATCTCCTCTCTACAATCCCCCTCAGGCTCGTCTATCTCCGACCTGCCCGGTATGTCCTCCTTATGCACTTCCTTCTTCCAGCAATTGTACGGCGGCTCTCAGCGGGTGACCCCCGATCCCTCCTTTTGGTCCCTTGTACCTCCTTCCCAACTCCCTCCAGAGGCTTTCTCCCGCCTCTCGTTCCCCTTCTCTCTCACGGAAGTTTCGAAGGCTATCGCCTCACTCCCTAAAGGTAAAACCCCGGGGCCGGACGGCCTTTCAGGAGAGCAATTCCGAACATTCCGTACTTTTTTCACTCCCGCTCTACACTCTCTGTTTCTTGGAACACAGTACACCCTCCCCCAGTCTATGTTGCAAGGTCGAACAGTTCTTATTCCAAAGAAAAGTGACGCCACATTGGTCGACAACCTACGACCCATTACACTCATGAACACTGATTATAAGGTCTTGGCGATCTGTTTGGCTAACCGGCTTCAGCCTCTCTTGCCTTCCCTCATCAACCACTCACAGACCGCTTTCATTAAGTCCCGAAAGATTGGGGATACACTTAATGACACCTTGGATATCTTCGACTGGGCCACGGCACAGTCATTACCCCTTCTTGCCCTCACGGTTGACATCCGCAAGGCGTACGACATGGTCGATAGAGATTTCCTCTTCACCTGCCTCTCACACCTCGGCCTCCCTGCCTCCTTTATCCAGTGGGTCAAATTGATGCACTCAGGCACCACTACCCGGATTTCCGTGAACAACTTCTGCGGCCCTTCTATCCCTGTCATTACTGGCGTCAGGAAGGGCTGCCCGCTGGCTCCTCTGCTCTTCCTCTGCGTAATTGAGGTTTTTCACCGCTACACTTCATGTTTTCTGCCTGGCTTTCCCATCTCCCGCACCCAGCGCCGTCTGATGGCATGCTATGAGGATGATGTCACGATTTTCCTCAACTCGGATGACGAGCTCCGCGTAGCCTCTCACGCTCTACAATCCTTTGCCTCGATCTCAGGCGAACACCCCAATTGGGCTAAATGCTCAGTCATTCCCTTTAATTTCAACCCTTCCGACATTACCCGCGCTTGAGATATCCCTATTCGATCACACTCGGACTTCGAAAGGATCCTCGGCATATTCGTGGGCAGCTCTGGTCTCACAGACACCACCTGGGCCATCACATTGGCCAAAGTCAAACGCTCGGCCAATCTCCTCTCTAATCTGCATGCCACCTCCTCGTGTAGGAAGCAGCTGTCCTCGGAGAATCTTAACTCAGCCCTCTCCTATCCAGGACGCTTCCAACCGCCCCCCTCTCCCACTACCAAGGCTCTGGACGACGCGGTAGGAAACTTCCTGTCCGCATCCAAATTCAAGTCGGCGGGACGTACGACACGCCTCCTCACCCACACGGTCCTTTACAACAAGGTCGAGCACGGAGGGGTGGGTGCGATTCGCCCTTCAGCGCAAATCAAAGCCTTGAACATTCAACGCGCCCTCCGCCGGTTCTCCCCCCATCCTGGCGCTGTTGTGGCAAGGACGTGTGTGCTCATTCCCTTTGGCCTGCACGTCTTTCTCCTTCAGTCTGACTTCGTCTCTGCCCTCCCCCCCGCCACCCCCACCCGGCTGCACGAAGAAGTCAAATGTCTTTTGGAGCTGCAAATTGAGGTATCTCCCCCCCGACTGGAGTTCTGGTGTATTCTGGCTGAACCTATTCCCTTCAACAGGTTCTTGGCTAACCCTGGCGGCCGTCCTTACGGACGTATCCAAGAGGAAGCATTCCTGCTCATCGAGGAAGTGCGGGTTGGACACATAGTGCGTCGGGATGCTAGTGGAGCTCGCCGACTTACGGATCACGAAATCATGGCCCAGTACCCCCCCCCCGTAAATACCAGTGCAGCCGCAGAATCATCAATGAGATTTATGACGCCATGCCTAAAGAATGGTGGGCCGCACTGGCGTCGTCCCACTCTCTCGTCCCTCTTTATGCAGGTGATTGGGTGCTTCTAGCGGAGGATATGTTCTCCCCGCCCCGGAAGGTATTTGAGGTTGAAGACAGCCCTTCCGACGATTGGTTCTACGCTAACGTGTTTGAGATTGACAAGACAGGTCGCATTGGAAAGGAAGCCGTGGCGCGTCAGCGGCTCACGACTTTCAACACGGTGCCGATCCACGTCCTTGACAGATGGCTGGGGGGCTCCTTTTGCTCAGGAGCCGGGCTGGCGGCCCGCATCCCTCTCCTTTCTGACGGCATCCCCTCACTAGCAGCCATTCGCGATCTCTCCTGTTAGAATCTTAGGCGAGGATGGTCGACTAGGAAACAAGGAAGGGTACAAGTAGAATGTCGAGAGAGTTCTGTACCCCCTAAGGCTAAAGCCACTATAGCCTAGACAAATGTAAACACATGAACTAAGCCTAGATATAACTAAGCATATATGTTTGACACACCCCCATAGGCGAAGTGGGGGATAGCCAGAACAAGTAATGGTCACAAGACCAGTCAAGAAAAGCAAAGCAAGCTCAGGGTGGATCACAAAGTCACCACACAGTCCGAGCACAAGCAAAGGGCCACAAGGCCAGTTCACATGCAGAGTTATATACAGAGCACAAACAATACAGTGATCATACCCTAACAAGTGCAAGCATGCAGGTATATAGATAGATCACAGTACAGGCAGAGTCAGGCAATAAGTAAGTGAGGCAAAGTAGGCACAAGGCCTAACACAGTAACAAAGCGCTGATGGTCACCAGGCGGAAGTGCCTTGGTGAAGACATCAGCAGTGTTGGCCCGAGTGGCCACGTACGCTAGACGAAGCTGACCACGCTGCTGTAACTCTCGAGCAAGGAAGTATCGCAGAGCGATGTGCTTTGTTCTGTGCTCTAGTCTGTGCTCCTGACACAAGGCTATCATGGCCTTGTTGTCTACGTACAGGACTGGAGGCGAACGAGGCTGCTCTCCCAAGTCGGTCAGCAAGTAGGTGAGCCAGCGTAGCTCCTGAGCAGCCATGGCTCCGGCGTAGATCTCAGCCTCACAGCTGGAGCTGAGAACTGAAGACGAGTGGGTAGACTGCCAAGAAACCGAGCCGGACCCAAGGCTGAAGGTGTAACCCTGCGACGACCGCTGCGTAGCTGAGTCGTCAACCCAGGAGGCGTCTGCGTGACCAGTGAGGACAACAGGACCCCGTCCTCCAAGCACAAGCCCCATGCCCGACGTACTGCACAAGTAACGCAGTACCCTCTTCGCAGCATCCCAGTGCACCTTTCGGTGCCTACTGGGAGCCACATAGCGAGCCAGAAGGCTGAGAGGATACGCGAGGTCAGGTCGTGTGCAAGTCATCAGGTACATGAGGCAACCCACAAGCTCTGGGTACGGACCACTCGGCTCTACGGACTCGTCCGAAGGTGGAGCTGAGAGCGAGTGGCTGGTAGACAGAGGAGTGTGCTGTGGTGAGGACCAGGTGAGTACTGGAAGCCGAAGCGCTGAAGGACCTGGTGCACCATGTGTGACTGAGTCAGTGTGATGGTGCGCCGTGCTCTGTCCCGGGTGATCTGCAGGCCAAGGTAGCTGCGCAGTTCACCCAGGTCAGTGCAGGTATGTCTCTTCTGCAGCTCGGACTTCACTAGGGTCAGTGCCTCAGTGTCAGCCGTGGCAAAGACGAGGTCGTCGACGTACACTAGGACGTAGAAGGGCGGCAGCGAGGTGTCGGTGCGTAGAAACAGCGACGGGTCTGCTGTAGAAGGAACAAACCCAAGAGCCGCAAGAGTCGTCCTGAGTGTGTCGTGCCACTCGCGAGGCGCCTGGCGGAGACCGT